ATCATTTAGAATCGTTCATGCGAAGAAAATTAAAAATGACGCGTGATCCAATAACTTTGGAATCAATATGTAGGTTTTATTAACCAAAGAGATTTTGGATCTCGAATATGAAACTACGAGTAGTTATTACAGTAAGGAAAAAAATAAAATACTGAACCTCACTTTTGACATTACTTGTAATGTATAGGACTTACAAAAAAAAGTTTAACCATCTCGGAAACTTTTAACCAAAACTCGAAGACTTTTAAACATAGAACCTGGATACCTGGTTATACCTAACGCGCCACTTTAGCTCTCAGCATTGCATGCAAATGCTAGCCACGACGGTCACCTGCACACTAGAAAGTCCTAACAGCCTGTCACTTGTGCTCGCAGCGCTAGCCTGCCCGGTAGCTAGGACTGTGGCGAGCCTGCGACCAGACAACAGCCACGCTAGCCTGTATGGTGGCTAGATCTGTCGCCGTTTCTGCGCACAGCGCTGCGAGCAGACAACAGCCACGCTAGCCTGCCCGGTGGCTAGGTCTGTGGCGAGCCTACGAGCAGACAACAGTCACGCTAGCCTGCCCGGTGGCTAGATCTGTGGCGAGCCTGCGAGCAGACAAAAGTCACGCTAGCCTGCCTAGTGGCTAGGTCTGTGGCCGCTTCTGCTTACAGCGCTGCGAGCAGACAACAGTCACGCTAGCCTGCCCGGTGGCTTGGTCTGTGGCGAGCCTGCGAGCAGACAACAGTCACGCTAGCCTGCCTAGTGGCTAGGTCTGTGGCCGCTTCTGCTTACAGCGCTGCGAGCAGACAACAGTCACGGTAGCCTGCCCGGTGGCTAGGTCTGTGGCGAGCCTGCGAGCAGACAACAGTCACGCTAGCCTGCCCGGTGGCTTGGTCTGTGGCTGCTTCAGCTTACAGCGCTGCGAGCAGACAAAAGTCACGCTAGCCTGCCTAGTGGCTAGGTCTGTGGCTGCTTCAGCTTACAGCGCTGCGAACAGACAAAAGTCACGCTAGCTTGCCCGGTGGCTTTTTCTATGCCGAGCCTGCGAGCAGATAACAGCCACGCTAGCCTGCCCGGTGACTAGGTCTGTGGCCGCTTCTGCTCACAGCGCTGCGAGCAGATAACAGCCACGCTAGCCTGCCTGGTGGCTAGGTCTGTGGCTGCTTCTGCTCACAGCGTTGCGAGCAGACAACAGCCATGCTAGCCTGCCTGGTGTCTAGGTCTGACGCCGCTTCTGCTCACAGCGCTGCGAACAGACAACAGTCACGATAGCCTGCCCGGTGGCTAGGTCTGAGGCGAGCCTGCGAGCAGACAACAGCCACGCTAGCCTGCCCGGTGGCTAGGTCTGTGGCGAGCCTGCGAGCAGACAACAGTCACGCTAGCTTGCCCGGTGGCTTGGTCTGTGGCTGCTTCAGCTTACAGCGCTGCGAGCAGACAAAAGTCACGCTAGCCTGCCTAGTGGCTAGGTCTGTGGCTGCTTCAGCTTACAGCGCTGCGAACAGACAACAGTCACGCTAGCGTGCCCGGTGGCTTGGTCTGACACCGCTTCTGCTCACAGCGCTGCGAACAGACAACAGTCACGCTTGCCTGCCCGGTGGCTGGTCTGTGGCCGCTTCTGCTCACAGCGCTGCGAGCAGACAACAGTCACGCTAGCCTGCCCGGTGACTAGGTCTGTGGCCGATTCTGCTCACAGCGCTGCGAGCAGACAACAGCCATGCTAGCCTGCCCGGTGTCTAGGTCTGACGCCGCTTCGGCTCACAGGGCTGCGAGCAGACAACAGTCACGCTAGCCTGCCCGGTGGCTTGGTCTGTGGCGAGCCTGCGAGCAGACAACAGCCACGCTAGCCTGCTCGGTGGCTAGGTCTGACGCGGCTTCTGTTCACAGCGCTGCGAGCAGATAACAGCCACGCTAGCCTGCCCGGTGGCTAGGTCTGTGGCTGCTTCTGCTCACAGCGCAGCGAACAGACAACAGCCATGCTAGCTTGCCCGGTGGCTAGGTCTGACACCGCTTCTGCTCACAGTGCTGCGAGCAGACAACAGTCACGCTAGCCTGCCCGGTGGCTTGGTCTGTGGCGAGCCTGCGAGCAGACAACAGTCTACCTGCCCGGTGGCTAGATCTGTGGCGAGCCTGCAAGCAGACAACAGCCACGCTAGCCTGCCTGGTGGCACGGCGCTGCGAGCAGACAACAGTCACGCTATCCTGCCCGGTGGCTAGGTCTGTGGCGATCCTTTGAGCAGACAACAACCTTGTTAGCCTGCGCGGTGGCTAGGTCTGTGGCCGCCTCTACTCGCAGCGTAGCAGGTATTGAAACGAGCGTTTTAATCACCATGAATACATTACATACACACATATATCAGCCTATTACAGTCCCTGCCTCCCCTAGGGTACGCCATATATCAAGATCTCCCGTTGTTGCCATCAAATTGGATTAAAATACATAATTATAAAAACATATACACTTGGATCATTTTGGACAATTACTTAAAAATCTTACTCCATACAAAATCTCATTTATCCCAAACGATCCAAGTGTATTTTTTATCAATAGTTCAAAATCTACAAATGATTATTATATTTTTTAATAATCATTTAAATATTTACGTAATTATCTACATGTGCATAGTAAAATCACACCGATAGACTTATTTCTTGAGGAGCTGGAAGCCGCCAAACTTTGACAGGCCATATCTCAAAACCATCATTTTGCACTTGGATCGTTTTGGCATAACTACGTCCATTTAAAAACAAGAAAAAATTTATTACTTAAAGGTGCAGGGAAAATCTGATGTGCAATTATACCTATGGCAGATAACTGTATGTACCAGTAAATCCTCGGAATATTCCCTGTTTCTTTTATTTCATGCTGTTTTTTTTTTCTAATATGGAGCTTGGTGTGTCTTAATCTCGACTCGGTGAGAAAGTCCGTCTATACCATGAGTACCTATTCTACAGAAACCGGGTGATATCATGTGGAGTTTATTGAGGATCCGCGACATTCAGATGAATATTGAATAAGATGTTTATCTACTCGGTCACTGACTGTTGGCATTTTTCTTCTTGGCGACGAATTGTATCTATTCAAAATCTTGCCGGGTTCAACTGGACAATTCTTCACTAAGCAAAGTCAAAAAAATTTGCAAAAATTTGAAAAAAATTGCAAGGATACTTCCAAGCTGGTTTTGTCACATTGTTAAAAAGATATTTAAAAGAATTCGACAGATAGGTATGGTTAGTTTCACCATGACAATTCTCAATTTTGCATTATTTTTCGTAAACGTTTGTCAAAACTTACAAAGTGACACGATGTTTTTTTGTTTATCTAAAAAAAGTGAATAATTAGAATACTTAGCTAAACATTTTTGGGAAGATTCACCCTATCATTACCTAGACCAAATTCCACTAACAAGCACGGCTGAAATCGCACTTTGAAGTTAAAGTCAAGCATAAAATTGAGGCTCAGAGATGCTCTAATTTGTGGTTCTAGAAATAGAACAGTGTAGAGATAAGTTTATTATACTTTATCATTTCATTACCTACCTACGATCCCTACTTGTACTTAACTCTCTCTCTTTTTTGTGTGGGATACCAAGTCGTCCAACAACACAATGAGAGTTTTTACAAAATCATGATCAGCTGACTGCATTTACCTACCAAAGGAAATTAAAACAAAATATGTTTTTTAAAATATTTTCTTGTGGAAAATTGTTCAGTCTCACTATTTATTCGCAGCACTGAGAGCCATTACACCTGTATGGAACATACCTAGTTAACTAGGTAAGTAAGTGAGTTCTATACATTTTCTCCTAAGTTAAAAAGGGCGATATATCTCAACTGACCATCGAGACACGCTCGAGGCGTCGGGAACAGATGCGTATCTCCAGACAGCACTGAATTATGGCAAAAATTCCGAACTAAAATCTTTCACAACAATATAATTTTCCGCAGCGACAGCTGGTGTGGCTCAGAGCTTCGTTAAACTTTTTATCTACACTCGTTTCATAATATTTGTATTACGAATTCGAAGGCAGTTGCTTTAAAAGCATTCAACCTATGACATTTTATGTTATGTAAGGTTGATGTAAGGTCCTATATATCACGGTCATAAGTGGTCAAAGAGTTTACATTGTAATAGGCTAGAGCCTAACAATGTAAACTTTTTGGCCACTTATGACCGTTCATAATTTAAAAAGTTAATAACTAAAAAGTTTGTAATACCTACTTCGCAGGCTTCCGCGCCATCTATACATGATTTATATAACGTACTCCTCACAGTTCCTCATTACATTACAGAGAATAACGTAACATCCAAAGTATAATCAGAAATGTTCAGAACTCCAGGAATCGGTTAGTTTCATAGTGAAAATTGTTTAGTACGATGCTATTGACAAAGTGTCAAGTTAAATGCATTTCCTTCGAAACACGGTGTATAACCACAAATTAAAAAGACAGATATAATCGCGAGAGGTAGCCTACTGTAACTTAAAATCACTCTTTACTTAAAATAGCTAAGAAGCTAAAAGCTGTAGCTTGTTCTACGTCGTAGAAACGTAGAGCTACGCAATCCATTGTAGCCGGCTACAAATCTGCTGCGAATCTTGAAAACTTAATGGAGCGTGAGAATCGCAAACAGCCAATAAAGTACCTACGCAAGTTGAAACAGGTAAAAATATACAAAATTATGAGTTCTAAAGTAGGTGGTATTTGGATCTCATTAACATTAACAGGAAGATGATTGCTTGTAGGTAGGTACTACATTTAAGGAAAAATTAAGTCACAATTTTGATAATAGGTAATGAAATGACAGTTCCAGAGTCTATTCATTATTGCAATTAAGTAATTATCTACCTACTCACCTATAAATTATAGACTACGTCAAAGATCTAGGGCTAACGTATAGACAATACAAGAATTCAAAGTACCTAAGTATTATCCGTATTATCAGAAATTAGGAAAACGGCGCGCGGGGCGCGTATCATAAAAAACTAATATTCGATTTTTTGGAAACTTCCAAAATTTTCACCGCAGGCAGGATTTGAACCTGTGACCTTCGGGATCAGTACTGCCGACGCCCTAACCAACTGGGCTACCGCGGTTCTAATCGAGCCCGCGAAATTAAGGAAGTATATTATCTTGTCCACTATCGCGTGGATGGGCTCCATCTACTGGGATAGTTTTGCAACTAATTCCCAGCGACTAATTCATTCTTTACAGATTGAATGTAGTCAAAGCGATGAAAACCTGCGATAAATTGAATACCAAATTTTAAAACACTTCTCGTGTTAGGTAAACAATTTTTTGGAAACTTCCAAAATTTTCACCGCAGGCAGGATTTGAACCTGCGACCTTCGGCATCAGTACTGCCGACGCCCTAACCAACTGGGCTACCGCGGTTCTAATCGAGCCCGCGAAATTAGGGAAGTATATCTTGTCCACTATCGCGTGGATGGGCTCCATCTACTAGGATAGTTTTGCAACTAATTCCCAGCGACTAATTAATTCTTTAATGTTTTAAAATTTGGTATTCAACTAATATTCGATTTTTGTATTCAGTATTAAAATAGGTACCTAGTGTACCTTCCTACATAAATTGATGTGATGACTGCTATTTCCTTTATTGGTTTTGTCCGTTATCCGGAAAGTATCAAATGTTATTATTGCCAAGCTTCCTTCCTGCTCCCCAGCTTTCCTATGACACATCCATTCTGTTTTCATTTGACAGCCTTTGTTTCTCGTGACAAAGACGATAGGCAATGGACTAAAATGAAAAGTTGCGTTCTATCTAAACTTTTGTGCTTGCAACATTGTGAGATATTCATTGCTGGTTTTGCTAAGAATCTGTGACAATGATTTATATCGTCATCACATCATATCAGTGTATAGTACCGATTCCACTGCTGAGCATAGCCATCTTTCAGGATACGTAGTAAAACACGGGTCACATTTTTCGTAGAACCAATGGACGGTGGAGTAGGTACGCGGGTTCTCGAGTGGGGCCACGCCTCGGCAGACGTAGCGTTGAACGCTCTCCGGCCAGATGGACCGAGGACTTAAAAAAGGCGACTGGTAGCGACTGGATGTCAAAAACGGGAGATCGTGCCTTATGGCGTTCCCAGGGGGAGGCCTACGTACAGCAGTGGACCGCAATTAGGGATTGCAATCCCGCACCTGATTCAATCCCGCGGGATTCATTTGCGGGATTGGTCCAATCCCGCGCGGATCCCGCGGGATCCCGCACCTTTGTAATCATGTTAAAAATCTTATGTGAAATACAGACTTTTCTTCAAAAATCGACTTTACTTCAATAAAAGTTATCGTTCCTGTCATGTCAAAATAACTAAATAAAATTGAGATAAGTGTAATCAAATTAAATTTATTTCGTATTAAAAGGTAGACCTATGTTCAATATTACCCTTTTTTCTTACTACTGCTAATACAATTTTTTTTAACCCTCTCTCATATAATGTGACAGGGGGAGAATTGTTTTTATTTGTCTACAATATTTAACAGGGTATCTTAAAACTATTATATATAGGTATTTTAAAACTATGGGAGAAAATGTTATTATCTTAAGATATTTGCTTTTAAAAGGAGCGTTTTTGAGTCATAAATTGTTCCAGCTGTAAGTACTAAAGCATATAGCTATAAATTTGAAAAAAAATGATAATATAGGACAAAAGTCTTCATGAAAAATATGTACAACGGATAATGTACCAATTAAGCTTTAAGAAAAATATGAATGGTTTTCTATCTGCGTTTAAAATTAATTTTGTAACACTAAAAACTTAATATTTAAACTACAAAACCCTATTTGTAGGCGTATCTGACACACCCTTATCCAGTTTGTTTTAATAATATTAATGAATACTAATATTGTATTGACTAAAAATCAGAATAAGGGGCAAAATAGATCAAAACTTTCATTATACTTATCAAATAACTTTCCAATTTACTACCAACAGCTTGGACTACCAATGGTGATAACATAACTTCTTCTTTTCGTGCGGAACACCGAGTCGTTCAACGACACGAAGAACCCTGGTGTCAGAGATTTTTAAATCTAGCGTCTAGATAAATGATAAGTTATAGAAGAATGCTCTTAATCAAAGAGTATTATTGGTTTTACGAGTATTACCCAGTCTACGTCTCAAAGAACTACATTTTTAACAAATACTCTTTCAGCTTATACGCTAATAGTTTAGAATGTTTTGAAAGTTAGCCATTCGGAAGTAAAAGTTGACTTGTTTATGTGCGAGTTTTTAATGTGCGGGATCCGCGGATCCGCGTTTTGAAGGTGCGGGATCCCGCCAGGCCAAAAATAGCGCGGGATCCCGCGGGATTGCGGATCCCGCACTGCGAGATTGCAATCTCTAACCGCAATAGGCTGAAATAGAATAAAAATAGTAAAACACGTCCTCCCGTTTTTCCAACCAGATGCTACTCTAGCCGCCCTCTGATCTATCTGGCCGGCGAACGTCCAACGCTAAGCTGGTCGAGTCGTAGCCTTCCTCGAGAAACACTTACTCTATTGTCCTTGTCCATCGGTTTTACGAAAAATATGACCAGCCCACTGCCACTTTCAGTTTGCTACGCCTTCAGACAATGTCTGTTCACTCACGATACAGTAATGTACAACACTGAAAATGTTAAAAGCAAATAAGGCAGTAGATTTCGTCATAGAAGACCCAATATGCTTGTTTCTAGAAAATGGATTTTCTGAATTCAGTCGACTTATTTTATTTCCATTCTCCGCTTTTGATTTGGGTTGTGCAATTTTTAATATCAAATTCTACGAAATCGGTTTTGTGATTAAGTTTTTGTTAAAACGTTCGGTAATGGGAAAACATAAAAAGGCTATTGAAATTACAAAACGTACTTATTTTTTATGAAATATTTTTATCCACACGTTTTTACTTTTGTACCTGGCGTTGATAACTGCCAACCTAAACACATTCTAACTTTGGGACAAAATCTAACCCATTGTTGTAAAATATTTGGACAAAGAACGTGTGAATAACTTTTTTCGTCAGGCGCTTAGTTGCAATCAACATCGTCTCTGTGTGTAAAATTTAGTAAAAATTGTTATTGTCTCTATTTCTGATAGACTGTCGTGATAATTCAATAAGTTGACCGACGATTTGGCTGTGTTAGTGTTTGTGGCGTTTTCCCATGAGAAATAGAAAAAATATTGAGTGATTTATGGTGAGACCTTTTTTTGGACGATATACTATTCAACCAGTGTTCTAAAGTAAACATTAATATTTTAAGAGAAGTGCGAAGTAGTCTGCATTAAAATCCAAGTGAGACGCTCGTTTAGACAAGTGATAATTTCAAATAAGAGTTAATAACGTACTCTAAACGATAACTTAACAAAGGATTTGGACTTTGGACCCCAATTAATTACGAACATATTGGTTAGCTGAATAGAGCGCCTGAGACTTTTGAAAGGCAATTTAACTGTGATTTATTTGGAAGCAGATCTTACTTAGAGACATTACTGATTGCATTCTCAATTATTCTAGGCGTATACGCTATCTACAAACAAGTTATTTTGTGGCTTTGATATGGCTCCCAAATACAAGAAATGTTCGAAATGTAACATTAAAGTTAAGAGGAATGATTTTCTAACATGTTGCGTATGCGAAAATACTTTTGATTTAGAGTGTGCAAAAGTGACATCGAGACGTTATGATCTCATGCGAAGTGATCTTAAAATGATAGGAGACTCTGTTGAGTTGTAATACGTGCGTGAAAAATATTCAAAAACACGCGCGTAACACACCTACAATACCAGATAAAAAAGAAAAAACGCCTATCAAACTCAGTAAAACACAAGGAAACCCCAAAGAGGGAAAGATGACATCTCCGCTAGCTGAACCACAAATGCTGAGCTTAGTACAGTTACAAGATAACGCCGTAAGCTTACATGATGCTCAGGAACTTGTTGAAAACGAGTCAATGTTTCATTCATTAGAGCAGTCAAAATTAACCCGGAAAGCTCACCTATTACTCAGGAAGTCATTGTGAATGTATCAACGTTCAACTCATTTGAATCGCTTATGTTAGAACAAAATAATACACGACAACATGACTTCAATAAGTTACAACTAAATAGAAGTTGCCACAGCCAAGAGAAACCCAAAACTTACATGAAGAGATAAATGAATTAAGCCAAAATTAAAGGAAACTGAAAATAAACTGGCAAATGCTAATAAACTTATTGACCAATACTTACACAAAAACGCCCACTTAGAAAAAATAGTTACACAATATGAGGCCAAAATAAAAACGTTGACCCAAATATGTGAGTCTACCCCAAAATCGACTACAAAGAAAGCTAGAGGCAACAATTTTCAGTTCAATATGAGTGCTCTCGATCAAGTCAAGCTGAACCTTAATAACCAAGTTTTTACTTCATCCCCTAAACAGAGCTTTGACATAAAAACAACTATTTCTGCGGGTGCTTCCAGTGAAAAACTCGACTCTATTGTAAAACAAATTACACTTTTGCAAAGTCAGCTAAATGATACACTTAGAGAGCTACGGTATTTAACAGACGTGAGAAATCAGAACCAGGTTGATGATAAAGAAGAATTTTTGACAACTATCGATGTAGATATCAGCACAACATTTTCTGAAAGTGTTGACGATACAAGAGCAACTTTCACTGAAGCCTCTACGATGGAACCTTTTGCAATAGGAACAGAATGTGCATACTTAGTACGATCAGACACTTAAAACTATTACCTATTATAGAAGAAACTTTTAAAAGTAACTTTGAATTTTGTCACCACCTCAAACCAAATTGCGGAGTGTTAGAGTTAATAAATGGTTTGGAATTATTAGTGCAAAATTACACACATGAAGACTTTTGTGTAATCTTGATTGGAGAACAGGATTTTAATACTACACTGAATTACAATTGTTTAATTAATGCAGTAAATATGTCATTAAGTAGAATCACGCACACAAATGTTATTTTGTGCTTGCCTACAAGCAAACTAGGCACTTGTTACAGAATGTTTAATGCTAGAGTGGAATTATTCAATAGAAATATTCAACAAAGACTCAGTGATAATGCAATAGTTCACATTGT